TAGGCTACTTCAAGTTATCCAGAGTGTAACGACAAAACTAGAGAGTGTCGCCTATGCCCGTCGGCATGATGGTGTATTGTGTCATCTGACATCTCCAGAGTGTAACAACTTCATACATAACACACGTATATATAGGAGAGAGATATATTAGAACAATGGAAAGAGAACAGAAAGAGAAGGAAGGAGAATCATCGAAGCGTGCCATCAATATCGGCACAACTGATATTTTCTCAAACTAAGGCTAGCAAAATTAATTGTTCCTTTGCCGATCGGTTCGAGATCAGATTGAGAATACATGACAGTAGAAACGTATCTGATGCTTTGGTTCAGCAATTATATTGCTAATAGGAACCTAGTTATTGCATGGAGCAAAAGATTATGTCGGTCAAAAGCAATCGACTTTTAAATGATGATATCGCATAATTCCAGAACGCCAACCATAGTCCAATATATGGATACCAAGATTTGCCGATTATGACATTAGAAAAAGCCACAGCAAGCATCGTTCCATTAGTTTCTGGTATTATAGATTATGTTGTTTTAGTAAAACAATATTGTAATCGTTATTCACCTATTTTAACACGGGATGAATCAGCACCAATCTATCTTTACTCAATGCAGACAGAGTTCTTTTCCTCTCTGAACAAAGCACTTCGGGATCAAAAACGACATTTACTAAAGCCATGGTTCCCTTACTTGAAACTATTTCTTAATGCTCGCGAAAGGCTACCGTTCTATTATGATACTGTTTGGCGAGGTGTTTCGGGTGATTTCGATGCCAGTTGTCTTCATAATGATCTGCAAACTTGGTGGAGTGTAAACTCTTGCTCAAAAGCCTTTAATGTCATTGAAGCATTTGTTGGTGGAAAAGGAGTTGTATTTGCCATAAAAGTTAGTCACGGTAAAGATATTTCTGCTTCTATGGCAATGAAAGACGAACAAGAAGTTATCCTTAAGCCTGGGATGGGGGCTACAGTATTTATGAAGAACAAACCTCTCGACTTTGATAGTCCCCATGTTGGAAAAACCGGAGTAAAATTGACGGTTTACCGTGATTTTACCGCGGTAAACCGGGGCTTTCGGGAAACACCGCGGTTTACCGCCGGTATTTTTCGATTAACCGGTTCGCTGAGCGTTTATAAAAAATTGTTGCTAAAAGTCATTGATCGGGCTATTTTAGGCATCTTTTTTTCCTATA